ATGCCGGCTCATTCACACAGCTGTCTCCTGGACCATAAGCTGTATGCATTTAAACGCTTTTGTAGCATAAGTGTGCAGCAATAATGCAGCCTGTTGGCCGATGCCGGTGGACATGTCACTATCAACAATTGACATCTACAAGTCAGCTCTGTGAATAACGTATTTGTGCATCAACAGAGCATACGCAGAGCGACCTTGGCTTCAGTCATTCATGACTAAAGAGCAAGATCATTCTGCACATGCCTCACCGGCTGAAGGTCAAGGTCACTCTACGCATGCCTCACCGGCGGAAGGTCAAGGTCATTCTGTGCATGCCTCACCGGCTGAAGGTCAACGTCACTCTGCGCATGCCTCACCGGCGGAAGGTCAAGGTCATTCTGTGCATGCCTCACCGGCTGAAGGTCAAGGTCATTCTGTGCATGTCTCACCGGCTGAAGGTCAAGGTCATTTTGTGCATGCCTCACGCATGCTTCATCGGCTGAAGGTCAAGGTCATTCTGTGCATGCCTCAGCGGCTGAAGGTCATTCTGTGCATGCCTCACCGGCTGAAGGTCAAGGTCATTCTGTGCATGTGCAGCTGGCTCAAGGTCAAGGTCATTCTGTGCATGTCTCACCAGCTGAAGGTCAAGGTCATTCCGTGCATGTCTCACCAGCTGAAGGTCAAGGTCATTCTGTGCATACGCAGCTGGCTGAAGGTCCAAGTCATTCTACGCATGTGCCACCAGTGCATGAGTGAGTCTTTCACAAGACCGACATGTATACAGTGAGTAGTGTGTCATCAGTGGCACGCGCTGTCACTGACTACATATTGTTGCCCAACAGCGGCCAATAGGCTATCTAGGTATCTAAATGTTACATAAATATTACATACGCACAGCATATGAACAAATTCTTCTATGTGCATCTGCCAGCTGGATCCTGCATGAATTACGTATGCTTCATCTGAATGAGCCTTCTTTCTCTTGGCGGAAATGCCACTTCTTGATCCCCAATCCAGTACTCTGTACTGGCAGAGCTGAGTAACAGTCACACCCCCTCTGCACAAGTGCACTCAAACAGACTTGTATGGTGGAAGAAAAGTGGGGGTGTATCTGACCAGGTCTGCTACAGAGTGCTGATGACTGAGAGCATTGGATCTAACTCTAAGGACTCATTCACACTAGAAACTGCCGGCAGATAAAGCTACGTAGTGCAGGTCCGTACGGGTGCGGGTGTCCTGGCTCGGACGCAGACAGGCTCTATCCTGTCAGCGTACGAGTACGGACACCCGCACCCACGTGCAGGGCGGGTAAGCGTACGGCCGCGTACTCCCATAGAGAAGGACAGGGGCTGCGTACTAATCACATGCAGCACCTGCCCTTCCCGGGAGCTGCTCGGTTCGGCCCTGCATGCAGCACGGAGCTGTACAGGCCGGCCGTTACCCGTGTGAATGAGGCCTAATGCTTTATTGAACTGCACAGTCATATTAGGAATCCCTCTATAACGGCTGTAGCAGGAAAGTGGTGGAAGGACTATAAAATTGGAGGCAGTTAAAAGAGAACTATGGGGTCAGGGCTTTTACCCATAGTCCTTCTAAGGGTCACGGGAGAACACAAACTAGCATTCTCCTGTCACCCAAAGCCCAGTATACCGCGAGCTACAGCTCGCGGTATACTGAGACGCGGCAGTCGGGACGGATCCTGACTTTACTGTCTGGGGGGGTAGAATCCCTGCAGGGAGCCGTGACAGTCACGACTCTCTGCAGGGATAGATTGAGAAGTGAGCGAGCGCCGGTATGTGTTCGCTCACTTCCCGACCTACTGAGCCGACCTGTGACACAGGTCGGCTCAGATTATAAGGCTGAGTGAAAATCACTCGCCTCATAATTCTCCTTCAATGCCTAAGTCCACCCAACCGCATCTCTATTCCAGTGACTTCAGCTGGGCTTTACATGACTCAATGGTTTATTTAGGGATTATTGTTTACAATATATATTTTTTCTTTTCTTTAGCAAAAGCGGATTTTTCCTTTAACGCAGCCAATTTGTTGTAAGAGTGCGGCTATCTTTTAAGAATATTAAAAGATCTGGAAATAAAAGGAGCCTCGGTGTTCATTTCCTTCCAGATGAAAACACGACTGCTTTAATTTCCTATTCCATACGCCATCCACCCACCCGGCAATTCAAATGATGTGTTTTTTCCCCCCTTGCCTTTAAATCACATGAAATAATGTCTCGTTCTTCCCGTCGCTCTCCCATTGTTGCGCCGCTTGTCAGTGGAATGCCATTAATCCTTCGTTCCGCCTGGATTTTTTTTTTGTGTGTGTGCGTCCCAAATGCATTATTTTGCATTTATTGGCATTCAGATGTTGCGGTCACCCTTTTCGTTCATTCCTCTAATTTACTGAAAGCATTAATCTTGATGTTTTCGCTCTCTCCCTTGGAACGTCAGCCGCGCTTTCGATGGATCTACTTGCCCTAATGGCAGGAGAGCGGCGTAATGCTATGCGGCTTTGTATTCTACCACGGGCTGATTATACAGAATGCCATGTCGCCGGTGTGACAACGCATTTCACTTCTGAAATAAAGGTCAGATCACAAACAAGGTGTTTGTCTCAGAATTTCCGCAGGCGGAGGCAACAAAAGCTTCAGAAAATAAGTCGAATGAATGCGGCTAGACGGTTGAATGGATTTAAAGGGCTGGTCCGTCTAATAACTGGTTTTTGGCACTGCCTAATAATTGGTTTTCGGTGGGGGGGGGGGTTGTTGGGCAGGCGTAGGATGGAGAATTGACATTGGCGCTAACTTTGGACTGCCCCCTGCAGGTTGGGCAGAGGTGTGTGCCGTAGGATGATGGGGACCAGGACAGTTGACACTTGACCAAACATGAGGGCAGCTATGACTGCTATGACCCCCCTCATCAAACTTCAATGATGATGGGATCACCTTCACTCCATACAGTGCTGAGACCTCCAGAATACGTGGTGGTGCTCGTGGTGATGACCACTGATGGTGCTGTATAGAACCTCAAAGTAATGGTAGATAAGTCACCAGAACACACGAAGTTAGGATGCAAATCACAGTTCAGTTTATTGTAGCATTGTCACATCAATCATGAAAAGCCAACTTTTTGGGCCACACAGGGTTCCTTCCTCAGGGCAACATAGTGACTAAGTATATCGCCCTGAGGAAGGGACGCTGCGTGGCCACAAAACGTTGGCTTATGATGACACTCTTGTTTGATGATACTACTATAAACTGAACTCTGATTTGCGTTCTAACTTCTTGCATGCCGGTGACTTATCTACCATTACTTTGAGGTTCTACACAGCGCCATCCATGGTCATCACTGCAACCACCATTCAGGAGGTCTCAGCGCTGGATGATGTGCAGGTGATCCTATCACCTTCTTGCATGCCGGTGACTTATCTACCATTACTTTGAGGTTCTACACGGCACCACCCATGGTCATCACTACAAGCACCACCACATAGTCAGGAGGTCTCAGCGCTGTATGGCATGCAGTTGATCCTATCATCTTTACCCTCCTGGGCTTGATAACTGGACACCAGAATGTCTCTTGTATCTAACATTACTTTGAGGTTCTACACGGCGCCACCCATGGTCATCACTACAACCACCATTCAGGAGGTCTCTGTGCTGCATGAGGTGCAGGTGATCCGATCATCACTACCCTGCTGGCCTTGACAGCTGGACGCCAGAATGTCTCTTATATCTGGATGGATGGGGGAATCCTCCGCACACCTTGCAGCAGTCTGAGCCTATACAAAAGATGGTGCTTGCAGTGACAATCACGGATGGCATCGTGCAAGTACAATGTGAGAAGAGGAATCACCAGCACTCAGTAAAATAATCCAACATGTCCATTTATTGGACATAGACGTTACAAAAACACAAGAGCCAACGTTTCGAGACCGCGCAGGGTCTCTTCATCAGGGCATAAGATGTGACAATGTGACAATTTGACCAAAGCCTTACTGGCTCTATACTGGGATTGTTCAGTGCTAGTATTAAAATGTAAAAACTTACGCCAATTTTCCATTTGCCTTAATTTTTTTTAAAATCCAAACTCTAGGTAAAAGGCTAAATTCATGTTTGGAATACATGCCATCTATAGAATTTATAACTCTCCCTATCTGGCGCTAGACTGTACATAGACCTAACTTTTCTCTAGTCTAGATAAGCAATAAAGCTAGTTCACCTCGTCACCCCCCAGCCTGTGGTTGGACACTTGTAGGCTCCCTCTGCTCTCTCTCTGTATATGGTAAAAACTATATTGGCTTCTGTTGCCCCTCGGTCTCCCAGTCTGAGTGTCGCTGTAGAGGAGATGATAGCAGCGTGATGGTAAGACAAATTCATGTGTTTACAACGACTGCATTTAATGATATTTTAATGGACACATAATTATTACGCCATTAATTGGTGTTTATTTTCTATCTGCCCGCCTTCCGCTGTAATTGGGTTAATGAGATGTTGGATGAATGAGCTCATTTGTATCAGATCACTATAAATTTTCTGCGTCCTCCATCGGCGGCGGATAGTCGGTGGCAGATTTAGCCTTGAGTGCGTTGCAAACATTCATCCGAATTAATGATATGTAATGAGGGCCGTGCGTTGTCACAATTCACGTCTTGCTGCGTTCACACGGTTGGCCACATCGGAAGTGAGTTATTATTATAATTATCTCACACGGTGACTCACTTTGCTGCTTAGATCTTGTTAGAACAATTCCGATTGGCTGAGTCGCTGTCACATCAAAGACATGGCATTAATAAGAAAGGAAAGTGCAATGGTTAATGTGTATCTAAACTCAAGAACAAAAAAAGTAATATATATTACGGCTTGCCAGTCCTTAGATGTGGGGGCTGCATTCGTTTTTGTTTCAGGTTTTGTTAATCTTTATTTTCTATCCTTTTTTTAATCTTAATTTTTTAAATCTTTTTTTACCTTTATTTGTATCTTTATTTTTTAAAATCTTTTAAAAATTTGTTATCATTTATTTTTATCTTTATTGTTTTATCTTTTTTTAATCTTTATTTTTTTTAAATCTTTTTTAGCATTTTTTTAAATCTTTTTTTAAATCTTGTTTTATTTTGATATTTTTTGGCTTTTTTTAGCATTTTATTTTTATATTTATTTTTTTTACCTTTGTTTATTATCTTTATTTTTCATCTTTATTTTTTTGCCTTTGTTTTTTAATCTTTATCTTCTCTTGCCCTGGTAAACCCGCATACTCCTCTGTATCTATAAAGTCACCTTAAGGTGTGTAAGGACTACCGAGCACCACCTGCTGCCCCAGTCACCAGGCGTCAATCAGATGATGACACGTCGGGGTGTCACCCGGCCTTGGGACGACCCTGCACTGCCCTCATCTCCATGTTCTGTAGTCCACAGTTAGAACTGGGAGCAATGTAACTGCTCAGGCAGAGAGCACAGGACGTTATCAGCTCACAAAATTTCTGGCAGGACCAGCAGGTATTTTTTGATGCTATGGAACAGATATAACCAATATAACCATAGCTGGGAACTTTCCGGAAATGACCCGGCCATGCCGGAATTTACATACAGTTGACGGGTCATTACCGGAATTAGAATTATCTCCGGCATGCTAGCTGCGTGCATGACTTCATGTTCTGAGTCAGCTGAGATGCCGGCAGATACTACAACTACAGACAGCTCAGAGCTGAGGGAGGAACTCCTAGGTCCCTCTTTGGCCCTGACGTGTCACAACTATTTTACCCTTTCATGGCCCTGCATGGCAAGCATCTTTAGGGTTTAATCAATTTTTATTAGATTTTTCATTAGATTCATACAATCCGGTATAAAAGCAGCATATGAAAATTAAGGCAATGCGATACACAGGGGAATACCTTCCCTAGCCACGGGCCCGGCTAAACAGGGTTATAACATCAATATAGCAGTTCACATGAAATCATAGCAAGACGTGTGTGTCCTAGGACCAGGCGAGGCGCCACTAGAAACCTATTGCTGAGCAAGAGTCGATATTTTTTTTTAAAGTCCCCCCCATACATACACGCATGCAAACAGGCGTCGGGTGCGCATACGTGTGAAAACGACGATTTCGCCCATTACGCCGCACATGTTACATATCGCCGCGAACGTCGGAATGAGAGCAATAATTGTAGGGCCATCAATCACTGATAACACTAAACTGATGAGCGGTAAAAGCTTTTAAAACGTCACCTATGGTCTATTTTGGGCATGGTCATTTTATGCGATTTTGCCGGTGTGCGCAATTTTAAAGCATGACATGTTTGGTGTCTATTTACCTGACGTGACCCCATCTTTTATATTTTACCAAAAATATGGGTGATAAATGGGTGTGGTTACTGGGGGTGATGCCACTGAGGGGTGTGGCCACTGAGGGGCGCTGTAAAGCTTTCTCGCACAGGGCGCCTAAAGGCCTAAGGCCGGCCCTGATCTTTAGTACTTAGTAGAGCACCCTTTTGCTATAATGACCTGCAGCAAATGTGAAGCATAGCAAGATACCAGCTGCTGAAGCATCTTAGCCCATTCCATGAGCAATGGCCTCCAGTTCTCTAATATTCTTGGGTTTGCATGCTGCAACCTCCTTCTTCAAATCTCACCAGAGATTTTGTATGGGGTTCAAGTCAGGAATGGGCTAAGATTCCTCAGGGACACTGCCAGAAGCTGGTGTCTGGCTATGCATCTCATTTGCAGCAGGTCATAACCCCAAAAGGGAGCTCAGCTCAGTACTAAAGAAGCTTGACCTGCAGGGCCACGAAGGGGTTGAATAATTTTGAGACTGCAGAAGTCATTAAAAGTTGAATTTGGGGAAATCACTTGAAACATTCGTTGTGTTGACCGATTTCAATTGCTTTTGTTTGATTTGTTCATTGCAAACAGCTGAAAGTCTGTACATTTTGCTGAAAACCCTAAATTGCAGAGGGGGTTGAATAATTCTGATTATTGTATTTACACTTTAGTCCTATGTGTGTATGGACTGTGTTTGAAGTTTAAGAGGTTTCTCCAACCAAAACCTGTAATTTAGGAGAATAGGAAAGGGTCAAAACTTTTTTAGGGGGGGTTCGATGGTTGTTGGCGTCCCCAATTGGAAGATTCTCTCTCTCTCTTTCTGTCCTGGTGACCACCGTCTATGCAAACGCACAAGGATGCTTGGGGGGGCCACTGAGCCGCTTCAGAGGGCCACACCCAGCTCCTGGTCCGTCAGCGGAACAGCCTTGATTTAGGAGGCTCTACAAAGCCCAGCGGTTGGTATTTATGGCGGTAATTATTCCAGGCTATCTGCCGGCAGAGATGATTGAAAATGACCGCGTTGTGTATTTCTTGTCTCCTCTGTACAGCGTCCCGTTCCCCGGTGGAGGTTGGCAAGGTCTTCGCTCCAGATGAAGATGATTGGGACAATAAAACCTTCACGGCGGTCTCGGAAATGCCTCCGTAAGCTCCTGGTTGTAACTCAACGCCGGCTGACAAGTCAGGCGATGAGACTATTTCATTACATGTCGTCGTCGTCCCGATTGGCTTCTGGGGACGCGTCAGAGTATGAAACAATGCCGTATATTCCGCCGAGCGGCTGGGAAGGAGTCACTAAAGATGAATTAGGTTGTGACTTTTATGGAGGCTTCATATTTGTAGCCGAGATAATGAACAGGGGGGCTAGACGGAATGCAGTCTCAACAGCGCAGTCGATCAGGAGCGGTTCTGAAGCTAAACTCCGACCGTCTGAGATGGGAAGGAGACCTTTAATGTGTATTTCCACTTTGGCATCAACATTGGGATGACATCTACTTTATATTTGTTACGTGTTCCCATTTACATGGCGGAGCTTTAAAAACAAATTGCTGCTTCCATCTTAATTGCTCTTTTCTGAAAACTCCCAAACTGATTTTTCCTCTGCTGTGCAAGGGGGGATGGGGAGTTAATGTTTACCATAACTAACCCTCTGTGTACAATGCTGGCAGACCTCATTATCAGTTATAAACTAGATGTGAACACTGTCTGTCCCAACAAAGGGTTAAAAAAGAACTCTGAGCAAATAAAAAAATTTTACCCTTGCAGTGGGGCTACCCCTGCACTGGAAGGGTTGAGTGCTTGTTTTTGTCTAGGGGGCTCAAATGAAGCTATATTACTTAACGGTTCTGGTGGTGGTCAGTGTCCTCACATCTAATGCATGTCAATGAACCTGCATAAGATGTGATGAGACTCCTGGAACCCCCGGGTGAAGAGGCTGTGGGGACCGGTCTAGCAACCTGCAGAGAGTCGGGATCAGGTAAGTAATTCTGCTCAATTCCAGCCCCTAGACCAGGGAAGGGCAAACTCCGGCCCTCTAGCTGTGGGGAAACTCCAAAACCCATCATGCATCTGCCTCTGGGAGTCATGCCCGTGGCTGTGGGAATCTTGCAATGCCTAATGGATGTGTAGTTCCACCACAACTGGAGGGCCAAAGGTTGCCCACTCCTGGTCTACGGCTGGAATTCTAAAGCAGAATTACTTACGTGATACCAGCTCCCGGCAGGCTGGTAGACCGGTCCCCACCCCTGCACTAGACCCTAATGTGCACTTAACCCTTGCCGCTTGGGGGTAGCACCACTGCAAGGGTTAGCCTTTTATTTGCCCAGAGTTCTTCTTTAAAGACTCTGTCCCTGTTCTTTGTCTTGGGGACAGACTCACTTGAAATTGTTCAGAGTATCTTGCGGTCAACCCAAAGGCCTCCTCCAAAGAAACATCTGAAAATGTATATATCAAAATATTTGTAGGTATGATGTGAGAATGGGAACACATAACAAACATATAGTGTTGGGTTTTCTCACATATATTTATATATATGTTTATATTAAAAGAACAAACCTGTAATATATTGTAGCTTACCAGTCTTCAGATGTGGTGGCTGCATTACTTTTCTTTTTTTCAGGGTAAGTATAAGTTCTACCAGTTCAGAATCATACCTGTTGATCCTCCCAGAATGTAATTGTCCTTGTAACTTGTTGTGTACTGAACTGAAATATCAAAAAATGTTATGAACTTTCAAAACTTTCTTCTGTAAACTACATGACTCCTCCCTATGTAATAAAAATGATGGGGATGCTTGCGCTCGTAATGTAGTGACCAGCGTATGGTGACAACTCTTCTTCATAGATACAGTACAGTAGCGTTGTCACCCTAGGACAGGAAGTGTGCTACTGGCAGGATCTCCAGGTGAAAACAAAGGAAGAAAGTCTATAAAAAAGAATATGATTGCAGCTGCCACATCTAAGGACTGGAAAATTGCAATATATTACATTTGTGCTTTTTTGGGTTTAAGGGCTCATTCACATGGGTGTTCGCATCCGTACGGCCGATTTTTCGGTATCGAGTGTGAGTACTGATATTTATCTTTTGGGGGTACTTCCGCTAGCATGGAGCCGGCTTCCCAGGCAATCAGAAAGTCGGGCAGCGTGTCATTAACCCGTCGCCCGGTTTCTTGATTGCCCGGGAAGCCGGCTCCATGTTGCTTGGCTGGGCTCGATGTTGATTGGCCAGGAAGCCGGATTCCCAGCCAATCAGCATTGAGCCATCTTCCCCAGCCAATCAGGAAGCTGGGCGGCGAGACATTACCTGCCTTCCGGCTTCCTGATTGGCCGGGAAGCTGGCTCCATGTTCCCTTGCGGCACTGCCGGTCAGAGGAAACCTTCCTCTGACCGCAAGTTCCAGTATCAGGGGTAAGTATCGGAGCATTTGGACGAGTACTCGTCCAAATACTCCGTATCGGCACCGATACTGATACTAGTATCGGTATCGGTGCATCCCTAGTTAGAACCCCTGTGAATTATTTTCTATTGTGTCCCATTGGGTTGGTATTACTTCACTTCTCGTCCTTGAGACACAACAGGAAATGAGGAGAAATCTTTCCATAGTGGTGGGAACAAATGTCCTCTATGGAAGATTTCCCTTCTACTCTTGTTCTGGTGACATCTGTAAAGCTTTGGCTGTTCTATTATGTTCTGTCCCATTGACAGCCATAAAAGCCTGCAGAGGATCTAACCTTTCCCTATGCCATTTAAGACAAAAACAAAAAGGTTTGGGCTGTAGATATACGTTAATATAACACTATAGTTCTTACATCTTCTTTGTGCATTCCTCTGACTTATCCTTATTTATTTAGGCACTTTCTGTTGGACCCAAACACCGGGACACTGACCATGTTGGGGAATGCTGGTCAAGGAATGTATAACCTGGAATTGAAGGTGTCCGATGGCGTTTGGCCAGATGTCACAGCCACCGTGAGAATTCATGTGAAGGAGATCAAAAGTGACGCCATCTTCAACTCCGCTTCCCTGATATTAACAAGTATGTCATACCTGATATGGCCTCGTCCACTTCTTCACCTCAGCTCAGCCTCCTTCATACCCAGGTCAAGTAAAACTCCATTCAAAACTTTTTGTAGTTTTGGATGGAGTGGGGGAATGTTAGAACTCTGTTGGGATTTTATTGCCTGTTTGAGCCTCCCTGTTTGTTGACCATTGTCTCTAGGACCCAAAGTGGTGGAAAATCCAAAATGTGTTCAGGTTGCCTCCAGAACTGGAGTGAAGGCAATGTCTTCCAACAGGGACACCTTTTCTGGTGACAGTTGTCAAAGGTGGGATTTCCTGTCACTTTGGGGAGAGTTTCACTTCCTGGAAAATCTCACTGGGGAGGAAACAAACCGCAATCAAAATGACTGTAACACTTCCACCCTGGCCATGTTACAGATCATCTGTATAGCGGTTTCACTGATGTCCCTGAGCCACGTGAACCATCATTTCACAGGATTCGGGAGAGGAAGCAGTCATATCCGTGGGTGTAGCTGAACCTCTCTGGGCCCCTATGTACACTATCAACTGGGGCCCCAGACAACTCCTTAACATCACAAACACCTACCATACACGCAAACATCTCACAATGGCAAGTGAACTTGTAAACCTAAAATCCTCTCCTCATATGTATATGAGGAGAGGAGATGCTTATGTTGATGCTGACGTGGAGAAAGAGACCATCATTTAAGAAGCAGAGATACGCAACCTAGAGCTATAGTTTCGGTTGCAGTTGCTACCTTTCCTACGTCTGGTTGCTCCACCATTGTTTATAGCCATGACCATCTTCCAGCTACAGAACCATTGTGGTAGACATCTCTCCATTCCTTTGCATGATCTTGTGGAACATGGAATACAGATATATATTGTCACAGGGTACAGTAAACTCACTATGCTGTCCAAGGAAACAGCCAACAACAGACACAGTGTGTGTGATGCAAGTGCTCAGGCAGGAGTGCAGAGCAACAGAAGACATTCAGATGCAGTACCATATCGAGAGGTAGAAACATAGTCGGGTGGCAAGAGTTCAGCGCAGGTGGCAAACAAGAGCGTGGTCAGACAAGCAAGAGTTCAGCGCAGGTGGCAAACAAGAGCGTGGTCAGACACGCAAGAGTTCAGCGCAGGTGGCAAACAAGAGCGTGGTCAGACAAGCAAGAGTTCAGGGCAGGTGGCAAACTAGAGTGTGGTCAAACAAGCAAGAGTTCAGGGCAGGTGGCAAACTAGAGTGTGGTCAAACAGGCAAAAGGTCAGGGCAGGTGGCATACAGAATCATAATCCATGCAAACACAGTAATCAGGAAAATGCAGATAAACTGAACCTGTAGACATTGACTGAAATTTTAGAGTTCCCTAAAAAGGTAGTTAATGAGACTCGTGTGTCAGCTGTAGTGTGGTCATATTGCAGTGCATGGTAGGAACCACTAGCTGGTGAAGGTTGCTTTATGGGAGCACTAAATCTTCTCATGATAGAAATGGCCCTCAGTATTGATTCTGCCCGATTTTTCCTTCCTAGATATGACTGCAGAAGAGTTTATCACAAAGGATGAACATGGAGTCAGTAAAGAGGACCGCCTGCGGAAGGTCCTGACAGAGGTGGTGCCGGCTCACCTGGATAACGTCCAGTTCTTCAGTCTGTACAGTGAAGGAAGAGTGACGGAACTCAGGATGGCTGTTCGGGATTCCTCTTCTTACCACAAAGCAGACAAGTTGCGGAACTTGGTCATTAAACACAAGGAAAAGGTATCTTGTGGTTGATATAAGATGTTCTGGGTCTCACGGGGTGGTCTGTTGGAGAGGGTAGCCCTTCTAGGACATTTACATGAATACTTTTTTGTAGGACTGTCCACAGGATGCCACCTATTGTTCTTCTATCATATAGACTTTTGTCTTGCGAGGGTTGTAAAGTAATTTAAAAAACGTACGATCTGCCCATCTTGTACATGCAGATCGTACTTGCGATCATCGCAAGCCCGCCCCGCGGTGGGGCTGGCTTCCGATGACCTCAATGCTAAACGGGCAGTGTGCTGTGCGCACGCCGGCCCATTCGGCATTTGTCTCCCGAACATGCCACAAACCAGCCGAAAATCGTATGATTTTCGGCTGGTTTTAAAAGATGCTCGTTAGACAAAAGACGTGCGACCGTACAGTAGAAACGGTTGCACGCTTTCCATACACTTTGCGTATATCGTACAGTGTATGGTCACCTTTAAGGTGCCCATACACTGTGCGATTATCGCACGATAATCGCGGGAAATCCCGCGATCGTACGATAATCGCAAAGTGTATGGAAGACGTGCAACCGTATTTTACTGTACGGTCGCATGTCTTTTGTCTAAGGAGCATGCTTTTTAGCATGTTCGTAAGATCAATGCCGCACGGGCCGGTGTGCGCACGCGCATGCTGCCCATTCAGCATTGTGGTCATCAGAAGCCCCCCCCCTCAGGGGGGCAGGCTTGCGATGATCGCAAGTACGATCTGCCTGTCCAAGATGGGCAGATCGTACGTTTTTTAAATTACTTTACAACCATCGCAAGACTAAGGTCTTGCGATGGTTGTAAAGTGTATGGCCACCTTTACACTCTGTTCACACCTAGGCGTATCAAATATGCGCGTTTGTCGGTTTCAATTCGCGGTTTCAGTAAAAAAACACGCGACAAGCGCGCGTTTCCGAGGGCTACTTGGTTGCATCCTAATGGAAACGCGCGACAAAAACGCAGCAAAGAAGCTTGTGTACCTTTTTAGGCGTAGGCCGTTGTGTAGCGCGTTCAGACGGGCTGAAATACGGCAAGGTGTGAACCATACCCATAGAAAACAATGGGATTTTCATGTTTGAGCGTTTTGTAGAGCGTTTTGTAGAGCGTTCGTAGAGCGTTGTACGCACTACAAAACGTACAGGTGTGAACCAGGCCTTACTCTAACTCAATCAGCATGACAGAGTGGTCTCCAGCCTTGTCCTCGTCAACACTGACACCTGTGTTAACGAGAGAATCACTGGCATGATGTCAGCTGTTTTTTTTTTTTTTTGTGGCAGGGCTGAAATGCAATGGAAATGTTTTTTGGGGGATTAAGTTCATTTTCATGGCAAAGAGTGACTTTGCAATTAATTGCAATTGATCTGATCACTCTTCATAACTTTCTGCCATCATACAAACTGAAGCAGCAGACTTTGTGAAAATTAATTTTCGTGTCATTCTTCGCCACGACTGTACTTTAAATACTTTATATTCTTTATAGTCATTCATTTTTAATGGCTATATAAGTGCATTAATTATGGTTTCCTTTACATCTGGAGCTCAGCTTTAATAAAACATAACTTTCATTGTATATTATTACCACGCTTTCAATGCTATATCACAAGAGTTATGTGTTGTTAATTATGAATAGAGATGTTTTATGCATTTCAAGCACAAGGGTACGAAGGAGCCAACAGATCAGCTGAAGGCGGATGACCGTTGTAAAGTGAAATTCCATTTATTGACCCTGAAATAAAAATAATCCTTCCCATATGTAGTATATCTTATCAATAGTTTTCCCCATTTTAGACCAGCTTACACTTTTATCACTCAAACTAGCTCACCAAAATCTAAGGAACAATACACATGACTCTTGTGCTTAGATTATATTTTCTTAAAGGAGAACTATGAGGCGAGTGCTTTTCACTCACCTCATAGTTCTAGCCGACCTGTGACAATGAGACTGTCACAGGTCGGCTCAGTAGATCGGGAGGTGAGCGAACACATACCGGCGTTCGCTCACCTCTCGATCCTGTCACGGCTCTCTGCCGTGACAGGGGAGGGGCTGGATTCCCCCCTCCCCGCTCTGATCCTCCAGCGCTGACTGGCGGAACGGACGGGGGAGGGGGCGGGTACAGCTGGCTCTGCCTCTAGATAGGCAGAGCCAGCTGTCAGTCAGGCAGCTGGGCGGATCTAGGCATAATTGTCGGGATCCGCTTCAGCTGCGGCGTCTCAGTATACCGTGAGCTACAGCTCGCGGTATACTGAGCCTAGGGTGACGGGAGGACGCTAGTTTGTGTCCTCCCGTTACCCTAAGGAGAACTATGGGGGAAAGCCTTAATCCCATAGCTCTCCTTTAAGGGTATGAAGGAGCCGTGCCAAACCTGGTCCGAACCTGAGCTCCTCTGAACCCATAAGGAGCTTCCCCCCCTAACATGGAAGGAGACTCTTTCCCTGCCTCCCAATCAGCTGCGGGTGAGGAATTCCCTGTCTGTAGCTTGGCATAAGCCAAGGGGCGGGGTGCAGTGAGATGATTGACCTTATATGGCAACATAGCCATATTAGGTAAATTATATTTATTTAATATGGCCATATAAGGTCAATGACATCAGCACAAGCATCCCGCCCCTTTGTTTATTTTTATGCACGGCCCGCAGCTGAGGCCTATGTGGCTTCCGTGTTTGGTGGAGTATTCGGGCCAAACCTGAGCTCATCCCTAATGCTGAAGTTCAGCTTTAGTGCCGTGGTTTTGGAATGGGATGTCCAACAAGCTGCTATAGGTGTGATGGTCAGGTGTCCGCACACGGTTGGCCACATAGTGTAGACAAAAGTGAAGGTTTCCATCAGCGGCTGAGAAGGTACTGAAGCCACCGGTACAGTCAAGAAGCCAGTGCTTCCAGTAGGAAAGGTCAGCCACCATGTCTCTCCTGCTAAGTTGATTTCGGAGTACGCCGAGCGTATTTAATGCGCTGGTGACTCCGGGAGAGCTAATGCTTGCTGATGGAGCCGCTTTCCCTAGATGTAAAGCTTCCAGATAGAATCAGACGCGAGACGTTATGATGGGATTGGTCAGGGCAGATGCGGAAGGCTTGATAAATGTGAAAGCCCTGCTTGTAGCATGAATTATGTATCGGGGGATACAGCCGTACACAGCAATACCATTTGTCCGCTGACATAAAATCCATGCCTTCACTTTGACGGGTGCAATTGCTCTCGGCCTTCCTCTGCGAACGCTCACCATGCTTTTTTTTGTTGTTGTTGTTGTTTTTGTTCTCATCAGATCCAGGCAGCTGTTCAGACAGAAGTATTCCCGGGGGACAGAGACTTCTGCCTGCGAGCCGTCTGCTTGAGGAGTGCAGGGTGCCCCGAACACAGCACGCTCCGAGACTCCCCGAATCTGGTAGATGGGGGCAACGCGTCCTTCGTGTCCGTCATCCACGATCTGGCTTCAGCGTGCAGGTGCCCACCGTCCGGCCGGGCTAGGCCTTCCTGTTCCTCTTTACCACGGAGCCCCTGTCTGCATGGCGGCACCTGTGTGGACACCGCTAGTGGGTACAGGTAAGACACGCCAGGACTGGCAATGGTGAAGAGAACCAGTCACGTTGGGGGTTGTGCAAGAATGTGATTATTCAGCGGCGAATATTATTATTATACAGGATTTATATAGCGCCAACAGTCTGCGCAGCGCTTTACAATATAAGGAAGACATTACAATCACAATACAATTCAAGACAAGATGGTAAGGAGGGCCCTGCCCCTGAGAGCTTACGATCTAAGAGGGAGGGGCAAGTGATACGTGAGGAGGTATATAATTGTCAAATACTTATAATTGCTTCCTATACGTCTGAGCTGAAGCTTGAGAGTCAGGGGTCACCTGAAGACAAATGATGCACCATCACCTGTCTGGCCTGACACATTGACTCCCAGCTCCAGAGGGTGCATAACAGTGTTACATGACATAGCCGTGTAGCTCACAGGAATTCCATTTACAGCATTCCGTGAATTTACACTTTCACCATGAACCATCTTTGGTTAAAAGGTGAGAACGTATCTAAACAGAACAACATTAGTGACACATATTGAAGCTTGCCAGCACTTAGATGTGGCGGCTGCATTCGTTTTCCTCTTTCAGGCTTTTTCTTCCTTTATTTTTATTCAGTGATCCTCCGAATCATGGGTGGCTACACTCACTTCTCCACTGTGTGTATGGGGGGAGCCATGGTTGTCACCCAGGCTGGACTTCAAACATGCCTGCCTTTCTTTAGCTCCGTTGCACGAGGGGCCATGGGATCAGTAGCAGTGGCGTCACGCGGGGGGTGCGGCCCGCACCCGGGTGTCACCATTGCAGGGGTTGACACCAAAATGTGTCTGTCATTTTGGTGTCACCCCCTCTAAAAAGTCGGGCACTCAGTCATGGACCGAGAGCCCAACAGTGTTAGGAGAGAGGAGGGGACCCGGCGGCATACCTCATCCTGCCGGGTGAACATCCCCTCATCCCCTCCTCTCTCTGCCGGCATCCATCACCAAGATGGCCACCGGCAGGCATCAGATGGTCGTGCATGCGCGATGTGATGTCACGCGCACATGCGATGTCGCAGGCGGGGTGTCACCCTGTCTGGAGACCGGGTGACACCCGGCCTCGGGACGCCCCTGATCAGTAGTACACAAGAAACATTGCTTTTGCTTCCAGTTCAGCTCGCAGGGAGCGACAAGGACACGGCATTTCTGGCAGGATCAACAGGTACTGGCTGAAAATATTCTTAGCCCCAAAAAAAGAAAACAAATGCAGCCGCCACATCTAAGGGCTGACAAGCTGCAATATATTACATTGCACAGGAAGTGACAAGGACACGGCATTTCCGGCAGGTTCGGCAGGTATTGTCTGTTCTGCCTGAAAATGTTCTTAGCCTGAAAACGAATGCAGCCGCCACATCTATGGGCAGATATAATGCTGCACTATATGACATTGCACAGGAAGTGACAAAGACACAGCATTTCTGGCAGGATCGGCGGATATTGTCTGATCTTCCTGAAAATGTGCCTGAAAACGAATGCAGACGCCACATCTAAGGGCTGACGCTGCAATATATGACATTTTTCTTCTTGGGTTGAGTTGCCCTTTAAATGTCCCGTACAAGCGACAAGAAACAAGATAACTTCTAAAAAACTAATTACAAAGTTGCCGATCTCATGGCGCCTTACCATAGGACATGTACAACAAAGGCGCGACGGGTCTTTAAAATCCGTCACATATCTGAGATTTTCTTTCCTTTGCCGCGAGCCGATATAAATTTATTAATTTGTGTATTTTCTTCCTCACCCCCTCCCCCCTCCGTCGGTTTCCCGCCGCCGCTGCCACAGCCGAGGCGGATTAAAGCCCCCGGTGCGCCTCTGATGCCGTCAGCCCCGTAATGTTCTTAGAAGCACTTTAAATAATTTTTATTTTGCAGACATCTTTGTTCATTTTTTAGCACGCTGTTCTGCTCGGCGAGGCTTAGCGATATACTTTATAGAAATCAGAGCGGAGAGAAGGGATTAGAAGAGCGGCCCCGGCAGATGGAGGAGTCATTTGTATTCATTAAATGCTGTTCTGCCAGAAAAAAAAAAAGAAGATGTTTGTGTAATGTATGCACTGATGGCATTTATATAATCCGAGTCCAAATCTGATGGCAGCTGCTTCACCATTTTGTTAAAGAGCACCTGTCTCTGGGGTCTTGTGACCTAGACCTGTGAAATGACCCCGGACTTTCTACAATGGCCTCACCAGTTTCCGCTGAGGTCAGATTTGGAATGAGTGCCGCTAGTTAATATGTATGTCAGGTAGGGATGCACCGATAACGATTTCTCTGTATCGAGTACAAGCACCGATTTGTCATTTTTTTGGGTACTTGCCGATACCGAATACCAATACTGGAAGTCCCTTGAAGGAAGCCGGGCGGCGTGTAATGACTCGGTGCCCTGCTTCCTAATTACCCAGGAAGCTGTCTCCATCACCAGGTGATGACCAATCGGGAAGCGGGGTGGCGAGTCATTACATGCCGCCTGGCTTCCTGATTGACCGGGAAGCCAGCTTCTCGACCAATCGGGAAGCTTGGCGGCGGGTCATTACATGCCGCCGGCTTCCTGATTGGCCGGGAAGCCAGCTCCATGCTTCCTGATCGAGAAGTCGACCAAGCTTGTAAAAATGCCAGGGCTGGTGTCATCTAGTCAAAATCTTCCCAGCATGTAGCCAGCTTCCCGGGTAATCAGGAAGCCGGGCGGCGAGTCATTACACGAGTCCATGCACTTGGTGAAGAAGGAGCATGGAGCTGGCTTCATGGCCAATCAGGAAGTCGGACGTCGTGTAATGACTCGCCGCCCCGGGTTACTGAAACCGGAAGTTCTGGTATCGGGCCAAGAATCAGGAGTATTTGGACGAGTACGAGTATTGGTGGGAAGAATGCTCCCCCTTACACATAGCTAAAATGATCATTGGTCTCAGTGGTTACTTATCTGAGAGGCAAAGATTGCTCAATGCTCAAGGACACCCTGGCAACTACTGGAGGAAGCCTAGAGTCCTACGCAACCCCGGTTGAGAACGACTGTATTAAGTTATTGAAACTCCTCTGGGTTTGGATGGAATTAAACCATAAATTGAGAAGGTTCATTAAAATAAAACAGAAAATTAAAAACATGCCTTAGCTTGCCAAATCTCATATATTTCTGAGATATTGTAACCACTCACTAAGCCTAACAAGTACCTTTCTTGGCTTGGCCTCAGGTGCCAGTGCCTGACGCAATTCCGCGGACCACTCTGTCAGCTGACCCTCCGTACTTTCCATGGTGATGGATACGCTTGGTTCCCGCCAATCAAATTCTGCTCTGAGGTCCGTCTATCTTTGGAGTTCATCAGTGACCAGTCGGATGGGAGGCTGTTGTACCATGGGCCTGTGTCCAACCAGGACGCAGAGGATTCCTTGTCTGTTGGTAAGTGCACAAGAAATCTTTTTAACAATATGAAATGTTATGCGTTTTAGTAACACTTATGGGCCAATTTATAAACCTTCCACCCAGCCATACGCTGGGCGAATGCCGTTCGCACAAGATTCCCACCACTAGGTGGAGCTGAAGAGTTTCTGTGCTCCTCGGCTCCATCTAGTGGCAAGAATGCCGTGTGAACGGCATTCCCCCAGCATACGGCTGGGCAGAAGATTTACAAACTGACCCCTTACGTGTCAGTGGCTTTGGAAAAACAAAGATGTCTATGTGGCTGATGTTTTATCTCAGGGCTTATTGTCAAGAAAAGTCCAGTCAGTGTAGTGAGATACAGATAGACACTGGAAAAAGAATCTGCAACCTAAAGATCTGGAAAATCGCCACAATAATGGAAATTTCATACAACAAGCTTGAGAATGCTGCATCAAAATATACACTAATTTCACAGAACACCCGAATCCAATGATTTGGAGGGGTGTCCCAATACTTTTGGCAATATAGTGTATATTTAAAAGTTTTTTTTAGCATACACCTGAATATAATAGTGATCCGAGTCAGTGATTTAGATAATTCTGAAGCTATTGAATCACAAAGACATCCAGGAAACTAGAATTTTAGAGGAGATGAGCAACCACAGTCTCTATACCTCATCACTAAGAGGACCTGTCTTTGAAGTTGCCCGGTCTCTGCTGGTCAGGCAGGGTATTACATCGGCCCACGATAGGCACTTCCCTTGTCTAGCACAGCCTAGTCACGGTCTCTTTTTCCATGTGCAGACATCGTGCGGGGTGTACCGAGGCTGAAGATCCGACAAACTGGCGGCACCCTGATAGCGCTCCAGTTACCGGAGACTGTGAACGTGACTGACAGCATTTGGCATCGACTAGACATCAAGCTGAGGAACAAGGTGAATCCATTATTTTATCGCACTTGTACATAAATATTCTGAGTGCTCGGAGAAATGCAATTACACTGTCGCTGGCTGATTTATGTACAAAGGGGACATTGCTGGAAGCAACCAATCAGATTTCTTCTTTAAATTTTTATTCTGCAGTAAAAAATAAAAAATGACAGCTGAGATCTGACTAGGTCCTGCGGGTGGCGCCGTCACATGTATTTTAGATTTTTATTTTGACTACAGCCCCATTTTTATTGCAACTTGAAAAGTAGAATTCAAGTTGAACTCTATGGAAAAGTCACAACTACCGTTTGCGGTGGAGCTCCCCCTGCACTGCAAGGGTTAAACGCTCATTTATGTCCAGGGTACCATTAAGCACTTTTACTTGCCTTACCCCTCGCTCCCGCAAGTTTCCTCCTCTCCGTGTGACCAGTTGTCCTAGATTGTTCCCTTCTCCTGCCTTCTCCAAACTCTCCACCTGTTTGTGAATAACTCTGTTAGGGGGTTATTCACTAAAGAGCCAAGTGATCCAACCGTAGCTGATCCATCGGCTCACTTCGGCCGCCAGAGCCCTTCGGTTCAGTCAAACCGAAGGGCTGCTGTACCGGCTATTCTCAATTGCCCGTACAGCAGCGGAAGGCGGCCGAGCCGAACGCATGTGCTGCCGCTTGGCTGAGCCATAGTGACAGGCGAAGGGTGGAGAAAGGTCAGCCAAAGCCGACCGATCTCCACGCAAATGATAGCTGGGCGGAGCACGGCTGGCTCCGTCCACTTGTAATGACAGATCAGCGTCCCCAAATGACCTGGGGACGCTGGTCTGTCACTAAACAATAACACCTGGGCGGAGCCGGCTCCGCCCAGTTGCTGTTCATTGGCCGGGACCTGCTAGAAGACTCTGGCAGGTGCTGGCCAATAGGAAACAGTTGGGCAGAGCTGGCTGTCACCTCTAGCTCAGCCCAATTGTTTTTCTTTTGCCGGCATCTGTCATTATGCAGCGGGAGTTTGTCACATGCAGTCGGGTCGGCGTGCGTTGTTTTTTTTTTAAACATTTATTTTCTTCAAAATATTTTTATTTTCATGTTTTTTTTAATCATTTTTTAGAATCATTTTTCAACTTTTTTTTTAATTTGACTTATTTTCTACTCTGCTCGGTACCTCGGAGGGGGTGAGCAGATAGCCGAGCTGAATGCTGCTCGGCGGCATTCGGCTATTCACTTACTGCCGTTCGGACCCTATGAGAATGAGTGAGCTGCCGGAGCTTTGGCTAAGCCGATCCAGATGTTGGATCGGTTGAGTCGAACTCTTTCTGCATTACGGCTGAAGGAAGGTAGCTGAAGGCAGCCGATGTCCGGCTTATTTTAGCCGATGTATGGCTGAAATCAGCCATTTTTCAGGCTGAATGCAATATAATACCACATTATGGCCACTAGATGGAGCTGAGGAGCACATGGAATAGGTATTTATTACCTGTGCTCCTCAGTGCCATCTAGTGGCCATACTTTGGTAATAAATGTCATTACATTTGTCCTGAAAGGAAATTATACTAAGAACGTTAATTTTTCCCTCCACTCGCACAGAAAGAACGTTCATAAAACTTCGCAGGGCGAATGTCTCTGCAAATATTTTATATATGGACTCCCTTACTGTAAAATGTGTTTTATTTTTAGGCCGCGATATTGACTCTGGACCACTGTAGTTCAGCCGTCATTTCGGAGAAGGAGGGAGTCGGGAAGAGGTTATTGTCGGAGGACCGTGCAATGTGCGAAGCCCAAGGACTGATGATGCAAGAGTGGAGGTAATGAGGAAAATCACTTATTTGGCAGAACTTGGGAATTTTTCCCTTAATTTAAGCTACTCAAATTTGTTCTTATTTTTTTCCACTTCCAATATGATTGGAATAAAAGTTGTCTAAATGTAAAAAAAACAAACAAACAAACAGTCAAGAAGAGGAATTTGTAAGCATGTGACCCCAGTTCTTCCATCGTGTGTCACCGTCTCCCTTTGCCCCAGGCCATTCATGAAGTGAAGCCTGGGGCTGTGTGTTTTAAGAATTGCCTAGAGAAGAGGGGGGAGGGGACCCGATCTCAGTGCTGTAGTCTATGGGACCTGAACCGCTTATATCTAAGCACCTCAGAAGTTCAGCAGGAGCTCTACTGATGCTGGCATGTAAAGAAGAAGACTCGCCAGATGTAGACGTAAGCCTGCACGGCAGGTGGCTGCTTTTGAGGCAAAGGAATATTTATCTGCTTTAACCCCGGTGTGCATGGAGTTGGCTTTAACACCATTGTGATGACATTAGATCAGAATACATATACAATTCATATAGGAAGGAATGGTTATTGTATACAGTTCCTGGATATGTAGTGATGTCACCAATAATTTTACAGCCTGCGGTTCCTCTAATGTTCTCCTCCTGTCACTGCTTGTGCTGCAATGAGCGCCATCGGGAGGAAATGGCCAGAGAACTTCCCAGCGTGGCTGCATATTAAAGAGCCATTATTACATATTTCCTGGTGTCATTAAATCTTATTCACTCTACCCTTACATTTGTTTTTAAAGAGTTTGGAATCCGCACCATGTTCTGCAGCTGGGTGGGATTAAGGAATCACCTTCTCATCCACCCCTACCATCAGCCCATTTTAAAGGATGTCTACGTAACATCATCATCAATAAGCAGGTGAGTGAGGGGAAAGGAAATCACAAGTCTGGTTGATAATTTTTTTATAGGGATGTCCTGATACCACTTTTGTAAGACCAAGTACGAGTACTGTCCCTCATGTATGAAATTAATGGTAAAAGCCGCGCTGTGTGAATGAGACCGCAAAGTGTCAGATATAGTAGATGCTGACCTTGGAGTAATGTGATACAATGTGTAAAAAGTGAAAAACAAAAAAGAAACGCATGTATATAACATGCACCTTAGTGTAAAAGTAATTGCTACAAAATATCCATAATGAAAAATCAAATGCACTAAATATTAACTGTGAATCAATGTGATGCAATGTGAAAAGAATACCGACAAGAAAAACGCATGTGTGTAACTTGCACTCCAGTGAAAATAATAAATGGTTAAAAAATGTCCATGATCCTGGATCTTCAATAGTCCATTAAGTAAATAGAAGATAAAACATTGGATGTAGAATAAACTTAGTCTCCTGTGACCATCAACAGAGAAATCTTCTGGAATGCACCTCGCCTTTAGCAGAGACTCACCAGGGTCTGTATGCGCTGTTCCTCTAATTCAAAACAGGTAGAGGAAGCACCTGATGC